CATTTGTAGGGCTTTCTACTCTGGGTTACACAAGGCCTGCTAACAGTAAATGCCAGCAGCTCTGCTAACCCTGGGTCAGATTTAAAATAATGTTTAAATTGGTAAATGAGCACAGTAAAGGCTCTCATTAAAGTTTCCACAGTCCAGGCTGGGAGCAAAGGCTTGCTGTGCCCTCTAGTGCACACAGCCAGCAGCTCCCTGTCCCCTCTCGGGGAAGACACGAGGGAAACTCTGTGCTCTGGTTTCCTTTTGTCCTAGATAAAGCCCATACAAAAAACCCCAAGCCATCTGTTGAATGTGAGTATTTCTAGCAGTTTTACAGGTGGCAGAGATGAATGCCATTCCCCTCACCTTCACGGTTTAGTCCTGTCAAGTTCTGAACGTAGCCAGAGTCCCAAATGTTATCTGTGTGTGGGGCTACACTGACATCTCCCATGTTCCTTTAAGCTCCACTGCTGCAGAGCAGTACAGCACACTTCCAGCCCCAGTCAACTGAGAATGGGACAGTTTTGGGGGTTGTTGATATGGCTAATCATTAATCATATCCTCAATCAATACAAATATCTCCAAGGGGTGTCAGAGGATGGTGCCAGACTCTTTTCAGTGGTGCCCACTGGCAGGGCAAGGAACAACAGCCACAAACTAAAACAAGAAATTCCACCTCAACATGAGAAACCTTCTTAAATTCCTGCCTGCCTCTGATTTTCCACAGGGCTCTACGTGTTGGTGGGAGCAGGGGCCATCATGTCTGCAGTTGGATTTTTCGGGTGCTGTGGAGCAGCACGGGAGTCTCAGTGCTTGCTTGGAGCAGTGAGTAAAGGGTTTCAAGGGCCTGGGATGGGCAGGAAAATCATTCAAAGCATTCAACGTGTCATTAGTGGAAATACCTTTTTAATGTCCAAGACCTTTCAGGTCTTTTGTCCTCTTCCTGGCTAACCCAGCTTCTCTGACCACCCTGCAGCTGCAGAGCTGTCACACATGAAAGATTCCTACCAGCACCACAGATATTATAATTAATATGGCAAGGCCATATTCATTGCAATTGTTTTATTGCTATTTAGCAGAATTTATTTCTCAGCAGGAATCCCTGACCAACTGGGGCAGAGGGATGGAGGGGAAGAGAAGGATCACAATAACTGGGATAGAAACCTGGCTGATACAGAGAGACTGGACACTGATGTGGCAGTTAATGGGCAGCAGGCAGAAGTTTGTGTAGCTGGACGCTCTGCACTTACATATTGATTATTTTTACATTTTTCTAGCAACTGCCAACTGCCATTTGTAGGGCTTTCTACTCTGGGTTACACAAGGCCTGCTAACAGTAAATGCCAGCAGCTCTGCTAACCCTGGGTCAGATTTAAAATAATGTTTCCCTAGAATTACCTTTTATCTTTCCTGAAGCTCCACCTGAGCCACATCTTTGCCATTTTTCCTTTGTTTCCATATGACAGGGAACCTGACTCTGCACCTTTGCACAGGCCCAGCTCAGCAGCTTTGTTTCAGTGTGGGGTGGGCTGGGCAAGGACGAGGGGCTGACTGGCAGCCCACAGGAACAAGGGATGTTCATTGACATTCTCTCCTTCCTCCACAGTTCTTTGCTTGCTTGTTGGTGATATTTGCAGCTGAGGTCACTGCTGGAGTATTTGCCTTTCTAGGCAAGAAAGTGGTAAGTAGCAAAGAGCCTCTAATGTGCTAATGGGGCAGTTATGGATTCCAGTGCAGACTGACCTAGAGCATAGGGAAACCTCCCAGGAGACTTTTCCTGGGAAGACTCTCTGACATTCTTTTCTGGAGTCAATGAGATCTTGTGTTATCACAACTCCAGAACAGGATGCAGTTTTTGCCCCCTTCTATTAAAGAAAATCTGTAGGTGTGATTCCACCTTCCATCCACAGGGAACATCAAGCATGAAAAGAGGGCATTGCTTAGGAAAAGGGCAAACAAATTCAGGCACTGAACTTCCCCACCTAACAGTGTTTAACCAAAACAGAACACAGCCCATGAACATTCTGACCCTCTGAATGCCACCAGGCCACAAAACCTCCTGTCTTTCCAGTCCTGCACCTGTTTATCAGGCACAATTTCATAGAATCATAAAATCATAGAATCATAGAATCATAGAATCATAAAATCATAGAATCACAGAATCAGCTGGAGGTTGATGACAGAAGCTGGAAGTTTGCACTGCCTTGGGGATAGGACTGATTTGGCACTCACTTGGAAAGTCTGATTTCTGCAGGCAATACAGGAAGCCCAGAAGATCTATGAAGATGCTTATGATGATTATATGAAAAACCCAGTGGGGAAGGTCAACAGTACCATCTATCGCTACCACGTGGCTGTGAGTACCCAACTCTGTCACCTCACTGCTGCTCCACTGTCACATCACCCACTAGAACCCAGAATTCCTCCCACTGAGGTATGGAAGAATAGAACTGAGTGTACTTGAAATGGAGCCAGAGGCTCACAACCCTGAGAGTTTCCTGAGGTCTCTGTCAAGAGTTCTGGTTTTTGGATCTCTACTTTTAAAAGTGCAGCGGGCCAGGCTTTGAAATTCCTGATGCTTCTGGTCTTGGCTGTGCAGAAGATATGACTGTTATGGCCCTTTGGGGTATTGAAATCCAAGAAAAAATACTCACAAATGCAGAGAGAAGGAGAAATGTCTGAATCCTCTGCATTTGTCATAGTGACCTGTGTCCCAGGACCTACAGTGTGGCAGATCCTGTCACTGGCTGAACCAAGTAGGAAAAGAACCAAAAGTCCATGTGTGACACAGTTCAGGCCACCCAAAAAGTGAGTGTCTGAATCAGAGTTAGAACCTGTGACTGCCTCAATCCTATTTGTGTCTGTCCTGTATCTACACTGCCTCCCACAGAGATCAAGCCCGAGCTTTGTTGCTCCTCACAGCAATTCCCACGTTCTCTAGAACAAACATTTCACAACCTCAGACCCTTTTGTCCTTCTCCCATAGCCGTTATTTCTGACCCAAAGAGGAATTCCAAGCATTTTCTGGGAGATAGGCAAACAGGAAAAACAAACCCTCTGAAACACTGATTTATTACTGTCTCCAAACCCAGCACGATGTTGTGTCAGAAATAAAATTCCAGCATTCTCTGCTGCAGCTTTTGTGCATTGCCCATAATTCTGTATGTGATACTTGACCTTTCTGCTTTCTCCCTTCAACAGCTCCTGTTTTCTTGTAAGCCAGGGATCAGCTTCTCCCAAATCCACTTGTTTGCTTTGTTATGAGATACTGTAATAAAAAAATCCCTTCTGGACGTTGTTGTTAATACAAATTTGCCTGTTTGCTGTGGCCTCAGACAACTGAAACTCGTTTTTGAGAATTTCATCCCACATAGTTGGAACTCTACCAGAGGCAGTGGTTAATACAGAGAATAAAATTATTATTTGATCTCTATTGCTTCTATTTTTTAGTTATTTATTGTCTCACTTTCAGTTTGAAAGTAGTAACTGACTTTCAGTATGAAGCAGTCTGTGGTTTCCCCCTCTTTGATTCTTCATCTCTCTCTCTCCTTTAGCTCCAATGCTGTGGGAAAGGTAACGTGGAACAACAAGTGGGATTACCCTGTCCAGAGAATATCCAGCTGCCAAAGGTAAGTGTCCTCTGTCCTGGTACTTCTAATCACTTTTTCATGCCAATTGTTTAGTAAAATTGGAGACATTCTATAACTAAAAGAAAGGAGGAACTTCCCTTTTTTCACCTTGCGATTTCCAGTGTGGAATTCCCTGTGACACGGAGCAGCCTGGAGGCAGAAATAAGTTGGAGGTCGTATTGTCCTCAGTTCTGAAGGCTGTTTGTGGCATCCCACAGTAGCTGAGACAATATTACATCATCTGAAGGGAAAAGGGAGCAGGAGATAACAGGACAGGATCCCAAATGAAGGGCCCCATGGGGGCTGAATTTTGGCAAGTGTTTGCCTTAGTCATGCCCGGAGCCTCCTGACTAGAAACTCTGTTGGGCCTAAGAAGGATATTTCTGTTATTTCTGTTTTTAGGGAATCTGTTTGTGAGCACAATGTCAAAATGAAGGTTTTGCATCGGTAGAAACCTCCTGATTTAGCATGGTCTGTTATATAAATGAGTTTAAATTTAGGGAGAACCGAGTGTAAGAAAAGTACTTGTGTCAGCCCGTACAGGCAAGAGGTACAGATGTCTCACTAGAAAAGGGAATATGCTGTGAAAATTGTCTGACAAAACACAAGGCTCAGATGCAGGAATTAGGATGGTAACTGCGATATTTTTCGTATTTATCTGTTATTCTTTGAGAACAGTTGATGGAGTTGGTTGGAACACATTTTTTCTAGGAGTAAAGAAGTCTTTCCATTTTGTTTTTAACAGAACTGCCTGGTTGAAATTCAGAATGTAATTGATACTAATCTGCATTTAGTTGGAATTGTTGGAATTGCAATTGCTGGCATCACAGTGAGTAAATCCATGTTTGCAAACCTCTGCTTGAGCCCAGTACCCTGTCCCTTACTTAAAGCTTTGTGGAAGGTGTTTTGCAGCAGCTGGTGAGATTCCAAAAAGGTGCAGCTTTTCTTATCACTTCCAGTGTGTCCTCTCTCTGGGAGTTGCCCACATCAGTGCAAGCAGACCTGTGTGACTGTGTTTTACCATTTTGTGTCCTTAGACAAGGTCCAAAGCCATAGTAATCTTGTTTTGTTGTAATAGTAGGAATGTGGAGTGCACATGAACCAAACTGAAAAGCAAAAGACCATAGCAGCATTTCATCTCTCCCAAAACAGCTGCAGACTGATGCTTTAAATCCTTTAGGATCCATTCCTTAGTTTTCACAAGGAATACAGAGTACCTACCCTTTGTAGAAGTGGTTTTCCAGGAACATGCTGGCTGTAGCTTTGGTTCAATGTGAAGGACAGTTTACAATCAGGTTTTCTAGGGCAGAGCTGTGACCAACAGATGTCACCCTGATCCAGGGATACAGCAGGATGGTCAGGCTGCAGCTCACCAGGCTTTAGCAGAAAGAGTTTTCCAGCACATCCGTGCCTTTATTTCCTTCAGGCTCAGGCACCAGCAGCACAAGGAGCCTGAATGTTAGTAAAGGAACAGCCCTTTAGGTGCTCTGAAGAGCAGGAGGTTCATGGGCTTATGTGGACACTTAAAAGCAGCTGAAGGGTTTCTGTAGGTACAGAAAGCACAGCAGGGTTAAACAATCCTGAGATTTATATGAAACATGAAGGTGTACCCAGAAATACAGCAGAGCAACGTGGGTGGGGCAGAGTTCAACAACCTCACTGCTCAGAACAAGGATCATCTCCTGCATGGCTCCCACCTCAGATACACACAAATTATGGAGGGATAACAACCCCTGTGGCAGCAAAACCACGTCTGTACATTTTCCTGTGCTTGTTTCTGCCACTTCATGGGGTGTGACAGCTCAGCTGGCTCCTTCCTTAAGGACCTGTGTGAGGAGGGAGTATGAACCCGGTGGTTTAACTGCCCATCTCCCATCCTTAGCAATGAAGCCTCAGGAGGCAGCTGCAAACTGCTCTGGAGGATCAACCTGTGGCAAAAAAAGACATTTCTGGACACTCTGGCAACACTCACTGTTATCATTCCCTCTAGTTAACTATCTCCCTGACATGAGCAGAGTTTTATATTTAATGTATAGTCTTGCTCTTGAGCTCACAGAGTGTTAATAGCTCAGCTTTGCCTGTGACACTGCAGTGCTCAGCACCAGCTCCAGGAACCTGGTCCCTCTGGAATCACTCAAACCTGGATAATATTCCACGTAGAAGCATTCTGCAACTCAGAGCCTTCTGCTGCAGTACTAGGGAGAATACCAATAGCCACAGTTATTTAGTCTGTTAAATTTATGTCAATAATGTTGGGGGCAGTTTTGGTGGCCTTGACATTTAGAACAAAGAACAGCAAAACCAGCAGGAGCAGATAAAATCTTGGCTTTGAGGATCAGTGAAATCTCCTGCGTGTTGGCTGCCTGATGTTTTGGGGTTGGCAGACAGGGAGCAGCCACTGCTCTGCCATGTGGACCTTCAGATTGTTCTGATATGCAGATTATTTTATCACTGTTTTGCAAGTGGATCCCTAAATCACATCCCTTCTCTTCTAGATCTTTGGCATGATATTCAGCATGGTTCTGTGCTGTGCCATCCGTAACACACGGGACATGATCTAAAACTGTCACGGCACAACTGGGTCCCAGGAGTTCCAGACTAAGCTTACAAGAAGTGCTCTTCTACCCAATTTAATAATTGTAATGCATTTTAATCAGTGTTTTAACATACTGAGAGGAAAATATCCCATTAGGTGATCAGGTGAATTGTATTAGTTGCAGTAAAACTGAAGTGAACAACAAAAAAAAAGGGGGTTAAAATGTCCTTTTTAATGAAAAATGCAAAAGGTTCATCTAAGACTAATTTGATTTTTAATGTTTGTATATGTGCAATTAAGAGTTTACACTTGTGTAAGCACATGCATATCTGCCCTTACAAATGTATATGCATGTGAGCAGGCACCTGGATGTGCAGTACCTTGTCTAGGTAAGTATGTGCAAATGCAATATGTTGTGTGTGCATCCAGAGTCTCCCTGTGCAGGAATCTGCACATCCCACAGGGACACAGTGCTTGGAACCCTCTCACACTGAGCCCCTGTTTGACAAGAATTAGCAGAGGAACAAATGCCACTGTAAAAAGCAAGACCCACGATCCATTTTGTGACTGTTCTTTCCAAAGCCCAAACAGAGTAGAATTAATAAAATCGGACTTTATTTAAAAATAACTAATGCCTAAGGGCCTGCTCCAGCAAACTTTAATTCATGTGAGTAGACCCACTGACTTCACTGTCATGCAGAGACTGGATATTTAGTTTTTTTTTAGGACTGGACCCTTCATGCAAATGCAGAAAGCTCTGGGGGAGGAAACATGTCCAAGGAGATCCAGGCTAAGGGAAGAGGGGGAAAGAGGTGGGAAGCTGACAAGACAAGGCAGTCATTTGGGAGGAATTGCAGTGCAAAGTGTGCTTAAGCTTCCCAAGGAGCCTGAGATACACCAAAAAACCCAACTGTGAGTTAAAGGGGCCACTAAAATCCATATTCAGCAGCCCCTTTGTCCCAAAAGCCTCACTGTGGCTACAAACTGGTGCAGGAGTGGAGCCTAGACCCAGAAAAGCAGCCCCTTTGTCAGATCTCTCTAGAATCTAACTGGCCTGTGGAAGCCAAACAAAGAGCAAAAACGGTCAGAAAAAAAACACACAGCACTTTAAAAATCCTCAATTTCTGCTTCTGTGACTATCACAGCTTCCACAGGGCTCTTACCTCAACCTCTCACCCTTTCTTGTGGGTGCAAAGCAGGAAAGAAAGATGGGACATTTTTACAGAGCCACAAAGTAAGGTTTCTTACTGGCACCTTTAGATTGCATGTCAGGTATAAAAATTACACTGTGTGCTTGAAATACCTCAGGGCTTGCGTTTACATAGTTTGTTTCTATATTTTTATTTTTCTATTTGTCATATTTATTCATAAGAGAATGTTCCTTTTGAACCAGACTGGGAGGGAGAAAGGTTGTCTCGAGAAGGGGAAAATAAATTACAGCCAAGGCTCAGAATCTCTTAATTTTTGGCTTACTCGAGATAATTCACCATTTCAGAGAACAGCTTTTTGCTACCAATATCCCCACAGCAGCTCTGTCTCTCTGGTGATCACTAGTTCAGATTTCTGATGCAGCTGTTACACACACATTGGGGAGAAGTTCAGTTAAACTAGACATCATGGACCATTCTGATGAGCAAGAGCATTTACAAGTCATGGGGGTCTTTATTTCACTGAATCCCACTGAAATGAAATGGGATTTCAGGAAACATGTGCATTCCAGTGCACATGGTTGTGTGGATTATACCCCCTTTATGATATTTATCTCGTGTTCCAAAAGAAACTCAAACTCCCATCACTTTTCTGTCACTTCAGAAATGGAAATAAGTGTTGCTGCTCCAAGTACCTGGTTGAATTGACACATCTTTGCCGTCTTTTGCATAGATTTCTCTTTTCAAATTGCCCTGGCACAAGCTGTGGCACTGCACTAAGTGCTGGCGCTGCCAAGTCAGGCTTGGGTCACTCTGGCACAGCTGGTTATCAACGGATGCCAGTTAAAAACTGGGCCTGGGATCTTACTCTGGAAGTATCAGCCCAGGAAACAGGACCCCCTGCTCCTAAGAAAGGCCCAGCTGGGACAGTGACAGTGGCAGCAAATCCACGAGGGTCTCAAGCTGAAACTTAGAAGTCAGTTTTTCCACAGCAGCCAACAAAGTGATTTCCTGGCTCCCAGGTACACCCGAGACTTCAGTTAATGGGATAGTGCCCAGCTGGGGTGTGTTTTCTCAAGGTAATACTGACAGAAAGAAGAAACCTGTGCAGAGTGGCATTTTTACCACTCAGAGCAAGCCAGCTTTCCAGGAAAAGCAGGAAAAACAGCACCATGCCAACAGCACCATAGCCAGTTGTTCAGGTTCCAAGATTATTGCCCTACAGGGATAGAAAATGATGGCAAATAAAGAGATTTCCTTCTGTTACACCCCCCCTCGTAATGACAGTAGTTTATTTATTTTAAACACATCTACATAGATAATTGGGTTTAATTCCTCAAATTTGCAGCACCAGAATGTAATGATAGCACCAGAGTTTCTCTCTTTATCTGTTATTTCTTGAGTAAGTTGGAAGATGCCCACTCCTGCTTTGAGATGCACTGAACACACAGGCAGCTTGCAGAACCTGCTGTTGCTTCCCCAGCCCCCCCACTCCCCCAGAAGTACAAAACCATCTCAGTGCCTTAGGAAAACAGGGAAAAGTGGTACAAAAAAAACCCCCTTCTATAAATTCAGACTCGAACCACCGAACTTTCTGCTGAAGTGTTTTGGGTTTGTGGTTTGTTTTTTGATTCCTCTGAAGAGTGCATTTATTCTGCTGGGCATTCCTGCTCAAGCTTTAGGGTTACTGTTATTTAGGTCTAGGGGATACTTGCACTGCATACCAGGAACAGAATATTACCTGTTACTGGTTTAGTTCTCTAAGTTATTGGTATAAATTAAGCTGGAAATCAACATGTTGCTCATATAATAGTGCCTTTAACAGAATCCAGGGATAAAGGTCTTTTGTCGTTTCCTGCTGTTTGTGAGGTGCTTAATCTAATAGCAGTTTTCTCTGCATTTTAGTAACTGAAGGTCTTTTTAACTAATCAAGAGACATCAAACACAGCTGTTCTTTCCCTGCTCCAGTAAATGCCATGTAAAGCAACAGAAACACCCATTTAGTCCTGTCCCTTGCATCCCTTTCAGAGGAAAGACAAAAGATCAGATCCCTCCAGGTGATAATTCTGAAAGCACATCACGCAGGTTTTCTTCTTCTCCTCAGTCGAACAGTTTGTTCTAAAGGGTAAAGATGTAAACTGTTGATGCCCTTATTATGTCTCTAAACACCCTTATTCACATTTCCCTTGTCTAATTTTTCTAAGTAACTGACTTCAGTGGGAGCTTCATCTGTCCCAGGAAAGCTCAGCCAGTTTTGGTCCCTCGCAGAGAGACCAAACAGGAGCTGATGAAGCTCAGCCCTGTGACATCCCCACAGTGAGGAGTCACCTTTCACTTGTCTCGATACTGATAGTTTTATAACAAAATACATTTCGTGTGTCTTGAAAAAAAAAAAAGAACTTGAGTTATCTTAAAGCCTTCGGGCGCTGCGTTGTGCAGCCTGTGGAGGCTGCGGATTAACAGCTGTTGTTCGGTGAAAATGTACATAAATAAAGCTTTTCAATCTTCTTCCTCTCTACTGGTGCTCCAGCCACGAGGTTTTCCAAAACACAAACCGCGTCCAGGATAAACGCGTGTGTTTTTACAGCACAAATTGTGGTTTTTGGACAGAACTTGGCGTTTTTTCGGTTCGTGCTGCGAAGTCCGCGGCAGAATTACCTCTACGGCTCCTTGCTTTGAGAGAGAAAACAGACTCGCTCTGTGGCTGAAATTAGCTTTCGCTTCCCTGCGATGTGTTCCGAAGTGGCGTTTTATCGGCTTTGTGTCTTGAACTTGAAACGACTTCCTAATAAAAATAACCTGGAACAAGCGGCTCCCGGAGAGAACTCGGTGCGCGCGGTCAGAGCCCCCACAGCACCCCCGGCCTCACCTGCGGCACCCGGGGCGGGCGGGACGCCGGGCCGGGGATCGGGGTCGGGGTCGGGGTCGGGGTCGGGATCAGGATCAGAATCGGGGTCGGGGTAAGGATGGGGATGGAGATCGGGATCGGGACCGGGACAGGGCCCGGCGGGATTCGAACCGGCGGCACGGCCGGGACTCCCCTCAGGGCCCCACGTGCCGCGAAGGCCCCGCCCACCCCCGGCAGTGCTCGCTCCCCATTGGCTGTGCGCGTTGAGGGCGGGGCCGTGTCACAGAGCCCTGGGATGGTTTGGGTGGGAAGCGACCTTTGGGATCATCCAGTGCCACCCCCTGCCACGGGCAGGGACACCCCTCCCACCAAAGCAGGGTGCTCCAAGCCCCGTCCAACCTGGCCTTGGACACTCCCAGGGATGGGGCAGCCACAGCTTCTCTGGGCAACCTGTGCCAGGGCCTCACTACGCTCACAGGGAAGGATTTCTTCCCAGTATCCTAAACCCGTTTTCCTTCAGTGTGTAGCCATTCCTTCTTGTCGTGTCACTACGTGCTCTTGTAAATAATTTTGCCCCATCTTTCCTGTAAGTTCCCTCCAGATATTAGGTCGCTCCGATGCCTTCTCCAGGCTGAACAATCCCAATTCTCCAGCCTTTCCTCTCAGCAGAGCTGCTCCATCCCTCTGCTCATCTTGGTGCCTCCTCTGGGACTCGCTCTGCATCCTTCCCGTGCTGTTGGACCCCGGAGCTGGAGGCAGCTCTGCAGGTGGGGTCTCACCTGAGCGGGGCAGAGGAGCAGAATCCCCCTTCCCCTGCTGCCCACGCTGATTTGGATGCAGCCAGCGCGGGAAGGCGGGACATCGGCGGGACATCAGCGGGTCACCGGCGGCACCACTGGACCAAAGGGGGAGCGGGAGGGTCCCTACAAGGTAAGTCCGTGCCCGGGGCCGCCCCCTCGGGGGTTGTGGTGGCCGCTCACAGCGTCCCCTGTTGGGCGGGCGGTGCCACCGCAGCCCCGGGAGAGTCCATCTCCTTCTCCTTCTCCTTGGGGGTTGTGGTGGCCGCTCACAGCGTCCCCTGTTGGGCGGGCGGTGCCACCGCAGCCCCGGGAGAGTCCATCTCCTTCTTCTCCTTCTCCTTCTCCTTCTCCTTCTCCTTCTCCTTCTCCTTCTCCTTCTCCTTCT